ATAGTCTTATTCATATTCAAATCATGCGTGGAACATCCATTAGCATAAACATATCTCTTTAGTCAAGCATATCAAGTTCCAAAAAGGAACCTCCGGTACCGGGTAACATGTCTCACACATGAGCCACGGTATTGTTTCCCCCGGGCGAGGGCCTGTGCCGCGATATTATCTCCCTCGGGCGAGGGCCTCATGACCATAAGCTATAGTATTATGTCCCCTGGGCGAGGGCCTCTGCTAAGGACACCACAATTACTTTTCAAGAAAATTGGACATTCATTCATTCATACAAAACATAGTATTTCAGAAAATTGATCATTTCGTATCATCAGAAAATAATTAAAGTCAAACATAACTTTACAGAGTTATTACTCACAGATAACTTTGGCATTAAACAAATGGATCAACTACTCACATCGCATGACCTACACCAAACATAATAGATACATATAATGAAACACACACTCGGTTGATACTTAACTTCTTTTGTTTCATTCTTAGTGTGTTCTAAGTCTTAACCTTTTATTGAGTCTTAATCATGGCCTAGGAGTGCCTAGGATGCAATAAGGACGCTAAAATGTACTTGAAAACATTTAACAAAATTGCTGAAAATAGGGGTCTCGCTCAAGCGTAGCTTTCTTCGCTCGAGCGGACATGCAAAAATGTAGTAGTTGCTCGAGCGCACATTCCTTCGCTCGAGTAGCCTGCAAAAGTGCTAGTTGCTTAATTTTTTCGCTCGATGCTCACTCGACGCTCGCTCGATCGTGAGACTCAAGTCATCGCTCGAGCGCAACTCTTGTTGCTTGAGCGAATCTGCAAAACACTCAAACTTCTGGGAGCATGCATTTCACGCTCGAGCCAACCTTTGGTTGCTCGAGCGGAAGTGCAAAAATAAGGCGGTCGCTCGAGCGTAAAAGCAGAATTCTGGAATTTTCAGATTCACTCCCAAGCTCAAAATTCAATTTCCAAACCTTCAAAACACATTCTTTTGGGCCAAAACTTAGTAAAACATTAGGAAACTCATAGTACATGATGAATTACAAACTATTTTACAAAAGTAAGCCCAAAAGCTAAGCCAATTGTATTAAACAAAGCTTGAAACATGAAATAACATAACTTGCATGTAATATCATGAATTTCAACTTCCCAAAACATGATCAAATGAGTCATTAAGCTAAAAAACAAGTTGAATTCTTTTAACAAAACCAAGATATGAACATGCATGTGGGAATTCTTATAAAAACAACTTCAAAACCTCATGATATGCACATGCATGCATGAGTCATGTTCAATTCTATCATCTAATCCCAATTCTCTTTGAATAATGCATAACAACTTCATTTCTTATTGATTTCACATGTAATTGAGTCTAAGGTTACAAAATGTGAGTTGAAGTCTTACCTAAGGCTCAAATTCTTCAAGTTGAAGTTTAATTCCTTTGAATTCACTTCAACCTCTTCCAAATTCTTACAATCACTCTACAATTGAGCTCAATTTCCTTCTCTCCCACTCTCACATGTTTTTTATGGTCAAGCAAGAGGAAGTGGAAGCGTAAAAGTGTGTAGGAGGTAATGAGGTGGCCTTATATAGGCTTGATTAATAATTTCATTAGTTTGGGCTTAATTGAGCATTAATTATTCTAATTTAATTGTTCCAAACCGAATTTTAATTAAACTTACCATAAAATTTTAAAAATTTTAATTAGCACATAAATCAAGTCAGTTTCTGAATCAGATGCCGGCAAGGCCTTCGATTCACAATCGAAATGAAAACATGAACAAATCTTTCTACGTTAAACAGATATAAACACAAATAAGGCAAGAAATGATGCAAAATTTCACTTAAAATTCTTGTTAGGCATAATTAAGGATGGATTAACGTTAATCATGGGTCGAGATTGTTATAGTTAGTTAAGCCACTTGCATATTTTTCGTCTATTTTTCTGGTGTTTGAAGCAAAACAAACTTTGGCCAAGCCTTATTTGCCGACCTGCCAGCTCATCGTTTGGCTGGCCATGCTCTCCTAAAGAGAATACCAAGAGCCTCCCGGTGTCGAACAAAACAGTTTTCGACAGTCTACAAGACCTCCTGAAGCTTCTATTTTTCTGTTTTTCTTTTAATTAAAGAGTGATTTGTGAGAATAGTTTGTTATAATATTTTTATTTCTGTCCTCCTTTATTCGGATTTATAATATTCCTATCGCCCTCTTTCATTTGCTTTCCATATGTAATATGTCATGCTTGTCATCATATCTATGCTTTGCATCCATATTTCATGCCTTAAGATTCGGCTAAATTTTCATATGTACAGTTTAATTGCTTATTATGTGATTTTGTGCACTACTTTATGTTTTAAGATGATTCACATGTCATAAATTAGAAGCCATATCTGTAGTTGCATTTCATGAGTGAATTGCATTAGGGTCTTGTATATAAGATCATGCATGTTTACTAATTTTGTTTTTGTGCCTATTGGATGCCAGGAAATATGTAAGATTGGTGCTTTAGCATCCTACTTGTGCGTGTTTTTTTTACTATGTTTAGCATCCTATCCTATGGCTATGTGCTTATTTGATATAACTATACGCATGCCAGTGAGTGAAGGCTGTTGTAGACACTTTATTTTTGACCGTCCTTAAGACTTAGGCGCCTCTTGTTGAACACTCAATGATGAATTATTATGTTGTACAATCGTTTAATTTCTTCAGCAAAAGGCTTCGGTTTTGTGTTTCAAAACCTAAAACCTTGAACCTCATTTGGGCCAAAACCTAATTTTTTCTAGCCTAACCACTTAGAGGCCTACTAGCCAACAAGTGGCCAGTCGTCCCTCTCAATGTTCGGCCAGCCATGTCCAGTGACTAACAGATATTTTGCAGCCAACTGTCCCCCTATGTGCATGCCTTGCACCAGGTGACTCAATACAGATATTTCCGACAGAGGAACCTATTTTTCTATAAATAGATGACTATCTCTCATGGTTTTAGGTTAGAAAATTTTTCCAAGAGACAAAAACTTGCCAAACACTCTCTCTCTATCTTACAATATACATACACTATACACACACTTGCTAAACCAAAATTTTGAGGCTTCTTGCTAAGATTATTGAGCCAAAATTGCAGCTTTTGAGGGTGATCACTTTGTGGTTTGTGAACCAAAGAATATCCTCTTTTCAAGAAGTATAGCTTTTGTCATCTTCTCCCTTGTTTACACTATTTGTTTCCTCTCATTTTCTCGTTGTTTTTACTCTATTTTGGATTGATTTTAAGTGCTAAAACTTGTGATTTAAAAGCTACCAAAAGTGGAGGGGTTAATCACCCTTTCTTGAACCTTATTCCATAGCTTATATCCTTGTTCTTCACACTTGATTCTTTTCTTTTATATACATTTTTTTAGAGTTTTCCAATGCTAAAATATGTGATTTAAAGGTTCAAAAGGTGGAGGGGTTAGCCACCTTTCCTTAGGCTTGCTTACTAGCTTTGTTCACTTCTATTTTGATCAATATATTTCACTCTTTTCAAACTGATTTTAGCACTGTTTTGTGCTATTTAGGGTTTTTTTTTTTAATTGTTTATTTAGTTTATTCTTTGAATACTATGCTTATATTGTTGTAAGTCCTCATAGATTTGGTAGTTTAGGCCATAGACACCAATCTACTTGAGTTGATAGCTTAATTTACATAGTTTTCATGTAAATATTCATACTTGTAATAATCATCTTTGCATAATCATCTCTGTAACCTCTCTTATTTCTTTGCTTTCTTTGATTAAGAGTTGTCTCAAACACTAGTTTGTTGCTTAAGGCATAAGAAAGAGACTTTCCATGCTTAATGGTTTAATCTCTTCGGTGGTTCATTACCAAAGCATTATATATCTCTCATGTTAAGCACAACCTCTTGTTTGCCACTGCTCTTTATCACTTTTTGCACTTAGTGGACATAATTTTCACTCTTGGAAAAAATGAAGAAAAGATAAGAAAACGGCAAGGTAATGCAAAAGAGGCTAACAAAATTGGAGTAAAAGAGGTAATAAAATTGAGTTGGGTTGAATTGGATATTATATTAAACCTATTGGCCATGTTTGTTTGGGCGGACTGGATTAGGTTGGATTAGCATTCCTATGACTAATAGTCCTAGGATTATGAATCATTTGGATTGTGTATCCTATCCTATATTTGGATTGAGTTAAGATTATAAGGAGGGATTAATAAAATATTATCCAATCCGATGTTTGTTTAAGGGCATTTGAATGGATAGGACATGTCAAGATATGGGACATCCAATATATTGACCATAATACCCCTATTATAATTAATGTAAAATTTTGCACTAAAATGAGTTATAATTTTTAAAAAGCAAATTTTCATATTGTTGCTCCACATCCATTTCGATTCATTTGAACAAAATTTAACCCACTTTTTTTTAATAGAAAAAAAATAAAAAATAATTCAACTATAAAATTTATATATACATAAGCAACCATTTTAAAAAATACACTGCTATTTTAATCATCTAATCATTCATTGCTCAAATTCAAAAAAGTATTTATTTGAACAAAATTTAACCCCCACTTATTTTTTAATAGAAAAATTCAAAAATCATTCAACTATAAAATTTATATATACACAAGCAATCATTAAAAGATATGCCCTGTTATTTTAATCATCCAACCATTCACTGCCCAAATTCAAAAAGGCATTTATTTAAACAAAATTTAACTCTCTTTTTTTCGAACAAAAAAATATCAAAAATCATTCAACTATGAAATTGTAGAAATATAAATCTACCATTCATCATTTCAAAATAAGCGTTCCAAGTAGCATATTGCAACATGAACTAGCAAAATATGAGTAGTTCAACAAAAAAAAGTAGCAAAAAGTCAAGTCCTTATTACATGCATTAGACTAATAAAAAAAAACTAAGTACATAGAAGGACATAAAAGAGCCACAAGTATATCATGGAGCACTCTTACGTAGCAACCTCATCACCCACCTTGGTTTGTCATCATATGTCATGCTGAAGAACATGTCGAGCTTTTGAACACTTTGTGATATGATCTCACAAGCATCTAGCCTTTCATCAAGAGTAATTGGCAACTTAATGAGTTCATCATTCAAACTTGCCCGTTTAAATGCGAGATCATGTTCATAACCCATTCTTCGACCAATGAAATCCAACTTTTCATTGGTGGCAGAAAATACCTCACCCAACTTGTTAGCAATCATGGACAACCCTTTCACTACATCATCATTGCCTCTAGGCCTCTTCTTGTTGTCATTCTTTTTTGTAGAACTTTTAGGTGGTCGTTAACTTAATGAGCTGGAGCAATTTATTCCCTCGCCGATATGACTACTAATACCCATATGTTCAAGAAATGTGCCATTATCTGCAAGACTGTTGAACAACAATTCTTCCTTAGCATTTATAGCATCAACTGCATCAGCAGGCCCTTCAGTAAACTCCCCCGTAGCTCGATCCTTACCAAATATGTGAATCCATGAGTCGAAATACGAAAAACTTTTGTTTCGTAGGTTTTTCGCATCGCTCTCCCTCTACAATAACCAATTTCAATTAATATCTCCAACTTAAGATTAAAGAAAGTATTTTACCCGAACATATGCTTCCCAAACACTATCACTCTCAACATCAATTCTTTTTTCGGTGTCATTCCATCCAAAACCACTAGTACCAAGCATTACTGTTACACAGTTGTAGTGCTTCTTCCATATCTTTATCTTTGATTCGATGTGGGAAGTGTCACGAAGGTTTGTCCCGGGTAGCACCTCCAACAATTTCTCCTCTAATTTCATAAGGTGGCCGGCCTTGAAGGCATTGTCCTGTTTCATTTCATTGTTGACAATGTGCATCAAGGCATTAATAAGACATTGCTCTTCTCGTGGGCTCCACAATCGCCTTGGTTTTGATGGATCAACTTTCTCCTTTACTTTATTACGAGAACTAGACACTTCACTATCCATGCCTAGCAAAAAAGAACAAAGAAAAGTGTGCATGTTAGTCTCCATTATATGATTATCAACTTGTTAATGTGCCAAAACAAGTTAATACATAAATGGATTTCAATAATCAAAAATTTTCATACCTATACGTGCTTGTAACAAATCCATGAGACAAAAAAATATCGTCCCTTAAAAATATGCAATCACTAACAAAAACCATACAATTTTTGCACTACATCATACTTGTAACAAGTACTTTTACAAATATTGAAACTATCCTAGTCATGCCTCCCTACTAGCCAACCAATTGTTATATAGTTGCATTGCAAGTGTATCCCGCCACCCAGTCCACTCATTAGATGTCTCAACGGTGTCAACAAAATCATCTCCCAATTGAGGTTGATCTTCTATGTCATTATTTAGCCTCTCTTCTATTGGGTCAACCGGCATCTCTCGACGTAAAGGAACAAGGCCATCTTCTCTTCTAAGGTAACATGTTTTGAATGCCACAACTCGCCTATTGTACGAACCATATGGCATAACGTCATAAAACAACGCCTATCCATACGAAGTTGTTCAATGCATGTAATGTCACTTTCTCTCACTAGCCAATTAATGTGGTCTATTTGTTCTTGCAATCGATTGGGCCCTCGAATAACGGTACGAGGATACTTATGAATGTACCTCTTCAAGACAATTTCAATGGTAATATATGCTACAACGCATAAGTGTGCAATTCTTGCATTACAACTTGCAACACTACGTATAGCTCAAGCTCCTCATTAATCTCATCTCCAAAACCATCGAAATAGTACTCCATCTATGCAAATAGTGATGCACATCAATATATTAGAGTACAAGAAAACTTCATAATTCCAAAAAAAAATTAACAAAACAAAAAAAATAATAATAATGTAGAACATATGAGCATAACAATCTCTATAAATATATTCTTAAACTGGGTTGTTTAAACTGTCTGCAAATCAATCACAAACATCAAAGTTACATCAACTAATTGATAGGAGTTCAGATAACATCTCTTCCATCACAACTCTCAGTAAGTTTAATCGTTGATCGAATTCAATAAAGAAAAACTATGGCGATTGAGTGACTTTAGTGCAGTCAAGAATATATACATTCCTAAGGACTATGGCTCCCAAGGAATATATTGAACCTTGCTCTACAGAAACAAACCCAGATTGCTAGGGGTTGAGGGAAAAAAAATAAAAAAAATTACCATGAATAGTTACATTCATACCATACTAGACACTCAAATAAATAAATAAAGAGACAGAGAGCCATTACGATAGTTGATGACCTGTTAAGAAATATCTGGGGATAAATGTCATCACATATCACTGAATACTTCCCATAATACTATTTATAATTATAATTATTGATTTATAATTATTTTATTTGTTTCTTATTTATCTCATATTCACTCTAGTTCTTTTTATATTATAGGCCTTTAGATTGTAGAAGGAATGATATTAATTTGAAATTCTAACAGTAGGTTGTAAAAAATATCTGATTTTCTAATTTAAAATGGTACAATCATATTTTTGGAAAGTTGAATAGCACCAAAAACATTCTTGTTAATTACTTTTAAATCACACAGATAGGTATTTTTTAAATTTTGAATCAGATTTTTTGTTGCAAAGAAATTCACATTTTTTCTTCACATTTCTGTTACTTTTTATAGTGAAAGGATATCAAAATGCCCTGTTTCAGATCCTACCACCTAAATCCAAGTCATAGCCTGGCAGTCAAGAAAACACACTGATCACAAATAGTAGATGATGGCCATCAATATATATATAATTTTGAATCAAGGAGTTCAATATATATATATATATAATTTTTGCCTGCCAATATCATTGGATTCATAGCACTACCCAAGTCTTCTTTTTTTAATATTATTAGACAGGACCAGACATTCAAAAGCTAGAGAAACTGTGAGCACCAAGATGAGACTGTAAGATTTTGCATAAGCTAAGCCAAAAGTTGATTGTAAGTCATGGAAAATAGCATCTCAGATATAAAAACAAAAGTAAGTGTTATCTAATGCTTTTCAACATTATGAACAAGAATAATATTATTAGCCCAAAGCAAGAGAGATCAATCCTCTTGCTATTTTTAGTTTTTTACTTGCTCTACTCATAAGAAACACCAATAAGAAGAGAAAACAAGACATGGGTAAATACCATAAACTACAAATAAACCCAAAAACTAGCCACCACAACCAACAAAGGCACATGTGAATAGAAATAGTGGCGGTGGCGGAAACAAGGTGGTTGAGGAGGGTCATGAATGCCACCTAATTTTCAAAAAATTCCATTGTAGTGACCTTTCCAAGGATACAATATGTTAAGATAAGCTAAATGACGACCCCTAAATATATTTTTAGTACATAATATTATCCAAAAAAATAGACCAAACATCTTGTGTAAATAAAAATGTGGTCCCACTTATAAAAGTAAAAGAATTTCTCCATCATATGCATTGAATGTATGCTTTTATTTTTATTGAAAAATTGTCGATTACCTAATACAGGAAATTCACCTTAAATAGAATGTTATCAAGCCCACTTTCATAACAACATTCACTTTGGTAATAAGATTCTTACCCCCTTCTTATCAACTCCCTCGATTTTTTGCTCACTCTCTTTTTAGGACTTCTAACAAATAAAAATTCCTAACTTATCTATCTATCTATCTATCTATCTATCTATCTATCTTCAAATTCAATATGATCCATCTATTTGACTCTTTGCCAAGGTCTATTATCGATTTTCTATCCCTCTTCAAACTGAGCGATTAGTTATCAGAGCTTTCTTGTGCTCTTTGGGTGTAGCATTTGCAGCAATCTTAATCGGTAACATTAATTGCCCCAATATCAAGTATGCTTATTAATTTTTAATTTTATTGCTTGAATTTTTTTTTAATGAAAACTAAATCAAATCAATAAAATTTAATGTCTTTGATTTTCAGGAAAATATCTTATTACATCATGAATTCACAAAAAAAAAGCCCTTTTAATTCTTTAAAAATTGTTTGATACCTCTAAATGGGAGGAAGAGAAGACACATACAGAATTTAAGCAAAATAAACACTGGGGAAACATGAGCTACATAGCACACACATATACACACCAAAACAAGTATTATTAAAATCACAAGTATTTTGTCATGAAAATGAAAAGACTATCAGCAATTTCCATGTATGAACACAGAGGATTTAACATTTCAAACCCCAAGAACACTCAGCACTAATGACAGTTACCAATGTATTATAGCATTCAACTTTGTCATCCAATGAGGAAGCAACATAGTCAGCAAAATAGATCACTAATCGAATCACAAATAAACAGCACAATTTAATCGAATCACAGATAAACAACACAATTTAACACTGGTTCTGGAAAGACATACAAATCTAACAATATGAACTCACAATTAACAAATCTGAGGTTTCAATGTGAGTGAAAAACTCATAACCCTAGATATGGATCTATGAAGATGAAGAGAGAGAAAGAGCAATAACTATAACAACGCCAACGTAAAACAAAGATTCATAGCAAATCAAACCACGTAATAGCACCTTAATTCAAACCGAACATCAATGGGAAAAAAAAAATTACTCACTGAAATTTGTTGAGATCAGCGAATCAACAAATGGTGGATCCAAATCGATGGACAGTTGCCTTGTTGAGATCAACGAATCAACAAATGGTGGATCCAAATCGATGAACAGTTGCTCCAGATTTGTAAATGGTGGCTCCAAATCGGTGATCAGTGGCTCAAGCTCGGCGATGAACTTTGAAGACTCTCATCTCATCACAACAATGTCGAAGAAGTGAAGGTTGCAATGTCGAAGAAGTGAAGGTTGTAGAATAAAATAATCAACAAATATGATATATAGTGAGGGTTAATTTGGTCATTTGATGAGTTAGTCCAGACTTTGGCTAATCTCCCAATTTATATCCCACCCATCTTTGTGGGATTGAATAGTCCATCAAATATGGGACATCATATCCGAAAGGATTGTTAATCTGTACTTCAATTTTTTAACCAAACGTCGGATTAATAATTTTCTTGGACTATTAGTCCAATCCTAAGCCCATGTCCATCCAAACAAACATGGCCATTAAGTTTTGAATCATGACGTACTTTGTAGTGATGTTTAGTGATTCAAGAATCAATGTCTATCACTTCCCTTGAGATAACTCCATGATAGGGAGGATGTGTTGTTGGTCTTTTATTTCCATTTATTGATCTTTTGTCCTGTCGATTCATAGATCATCATGCAACAACTTTACGACAATTGATGGTTTGTGCATTGAGTCTACTTCTCCCTTGATCAGTTTCATGATAGGGAGAGGTAGAGAGGATAAACATCTCCTGAAAAAACTCTGTTTTTGCTCTGTTTCAATTCTGTGGCAGCAGGGCAGAACCCAAAAACAGTGGCTGGTCGGCCATCTTTTATTATACAGGTAGTGGTATTTTTCTTGCAGAACAGAGCAAAAGTTGAGGCAAAAACAAAATAATTTTCTGACTGCAAACAAAATAGATTCTAACAGCAAAACAGAGAGGTTTCCAGGAGGATGTTCTCAGTTGTACGCTTATGGCTCCTCGCCTCCCATCCCATTAATTTAGATGCTTTAATATTAGTGTATTGTAATTAAGTAGTTAGCTTAATTTGGATTTGCAATAATTAGTTAATTTAGCTTATTCATTTATTCGGTGTTGTAATATTTAGCAAACTAGGATATTCATTCAGACCCTCTTGTATGAGGG